TCGATAAGCATCTTCGGCACAGTTAAGCCGGGTTTTACAGGACCTAGCAGGAGTGAACAGTCCTGCAGGCTTTTGGAAATGCCAGGCTGTCTTAGAGTTCCAGGCCCTTTTACAGCAAGGGTGGTGTTCTTTAAGGAGCTGGAGAAATCCTGGATGTGGGACAATGATGGAATCACTACTTCATGGTGCTTGGTGCTCAGAGCTGACACCACTGGTATTTCCAGCATCTTTATCCAACCACACCAACTGTCTTGGGGGAAAGGCCCCTCAGCAGGCGCTGTTTTTGTGGATGAGGGTTAGACTTAGGCAGCAGCGGGGCAGATGGGGAAAGCCCTCAGACCTCGTATCTTCCTGGAGAAACACACCAGTTCCTTTTTGGCTCCCTAGGGGAATGTTCTTTTACCACCTCATTGAACCAGTGAAGGAGGAAAAAAGAATTTGGTGCCAGATAAGGTGACACTGAAGTGTGCAGCAGGAAATCTGAATCCAACACCACATCTAATGAGCCTATTATTAGAGGCTCTTGGCAGAGCAAGGGAAAGCAAATGCTAATGAAAAGCAGGTTCTGAGAATAGTCTGAAACTTAGCATTAGCCCCATTACATGTTCCCTTTCGAGTCCCAGAGGATGATTTGCACGATAAGCTGAGCTTGCTGTTAAAATAGGACTCACGTGGATTTGCATGAGAAAGAACTGGGCAGCGACTGCAAAAATTAACAGCTGTTTAAATAATTCAATGGAGAGGCTAAGGCTGAAGGAAATTATAGACTCATTGTTAAAGTTTTTAATTATCCCAACAGCTGTCCCATCACATGGACTTACTTTGTTGGGCCGTGGAGGCCACTTGAAAGATCGGATTTAGTCGGTTTGCTGAAATCTCCAACATTAAGGAACTGCAGTGCTACATCCTTCAGCTAGGAGGCACTCAGGTAGAAATCAAGGTGGTCAGCGGTGTTGCAGAGCATTAGCCTTCATGGATTTGCTATGCCGAAGCCCCACCTGGGCTTTCAAACTCTTTGTTGCTTTGTTCCGCCTGCACAGCCACAGGATGCGGGAAGGGAGTATTAATAAGGGGGTGGGTGTGCGACACTTGAAATGACTGCTTGTGTTTAGCCAGTGGACTTACCGGACCAGGTCTGGCGCTTTCTGCTTATTGCTCTGGAAACAAACCCGCAGGCTGTTGAGACCTCAGGTTTTCCACCTGTGGCCAACTCACTTCTTCCTGGTAACCACTTCTCTTGCTAGGAGCTGGGATAGTTATTGAGACCCCATCATATTCATGATAGTACTAGGGCCCAGCATTACGTATTTGGCATTCATTCGAATCCATGTGAAAACCAACACGTGCACACCAGAGGTTGCATCTGGTGGGAGACGTAGGCTCTGGGTGGCTGTACAGATTTCCAAATTGTGTATGTTGCATTTATTTGCTAAGCTCTAGACAAGTTGCATAATTAATCTAAGGAGACCCCTCATTTCCTCCAGGTTCCTGCTCAAATGTCCCCTCCTCCCAGAAGCCTACCCTGGCCACAAAATCACGCTGTGCCTCCCCACACACCACCCTCATCTCCTTCTCCTAGCACTCATTGCCACTTGAAATATATTTATCCACTTCTTTGTTCTCTCACTAAAGAGTACACTCCATGAGATCAAGGGCTTTGTCTTTTTTGTTTATTGCGATACCTTTAGAATCTAGAACAGCGTGGGACCTGAAATAGGTGCCCAGTAGAAATTTGTGGAACGATGCAAGCATGGCCAGAGGCTTTCGAAGAGGCATGCTGCCAGCCAGTCTGTATGAGGGCCATGTTCCCAGGAGCAAGCAAGAGGCCTTCGCAGTTCTTAATTTCTTTTAGCAAACTTTTGTCAAGCACTTGGTAGTAGGTGTTAAAGATTGTCTTCCTGTTCTCCCAGGGCTCACAGACTGGTAGAGAACGTAGACATTTAAATCAAATCCACCCTTTAAGATTCGACTCGGGTATAAACCCCTTCTGGGAGCCCTTCTCAAACATCCCTTCCTCTTGCCCAAGCCTGAATTAGGCACTATTCTTACGATTTCCCATAGCATCCCGTGCAGAGCTTGGTCATGGCTCATACTTAAAGGAGACAATTACAGTGCAATATGCTTTCTGTTTCCTCCTTTAGTGAAGGCTCCTTAAGAGTAAGGACAGTACCATACTCATTACTGAGTACAGTGTCTGACACATAGACTGTACTCAAGAAATATACCTTATCCCTACTATTGCTACTGTTACCATATGCATTCGTAATCAGTATTTGTATAGCTGGGTGTGAACACATTTAAAAAATTGTGTCTGTTATTCTAAAGGTATACAGGCTTAGAAGCAGCTCTATATTACATTATATAATATTCTATAATGTCATATTCCATAGTAGTCCCCACTTCAGGCTCTCTTTGTGTTCTGGGAGATGCAGTGGTTAGTTAGACTACTATAGAATTTTACACAGAGTTCTTGGGAAACTCCCTGTGTCTCCAGCTGCAAGCTGGAGTCTCTGATTTACTTTAAACATTATTTTCTATGTGCAAGTGTCAGGAACTCTTATAAGCCTGGAGTATCCAAGAGGGCAAGTCACAGAAATTCTCTCAATAAATACTTGTGGGTTTCTGACATTTTGAGGCTGCCACTTTGATGTGGCTGTTTTGATTCAGGGCTTCAGGGACATTTTGTCACAGCCTAAAAAACAAACCATTAACCATGCAGCAGTTTCCTACAACGAAGAAATGTGTGCAGCAGGCATCCAACCGCCTCGCTGGGTTGAGTGTGTATATTAACCTAATGTTTGTGTGTTTTCACTTGGACGCGGCTGTTTTGATGCCTGACACTTTCATTACATCATCTGGGTCTTGCCAGAATGTTTGCTTTAAATACTTGCTAGTCTTCCTTGAATACCATTATGTGCCTGATTCTAATTTCAATGGCAGAAGGGATGCAAATGTAGCAGAAGGCAAGGAGATTAACAATCTCGAGGGGACTGCGGAGCTTTGCCAAGGGCTGGCTAAGGGGATACAGTCACCACTGCTGAACACATACGACCTCCGTTCTTTCTTCGCCATTTCCCAGTTTAGAGCTTCAGATGACTGGCTGGAGAAATGTTTAAAAATGTAAAAAGATCCCAGTGAAACACAGAAATATGGTCTATCCATGTTAAAAAGATCATTTTGATCATTTTCCCCTGCTGTGCCGTAAAAAGAACTTTTCTGTCTGTTCCACTTGGCGACGGGAGGAAGTGGTATCTGTTGCTCACTGATCAGAAAGGCCCTTGTCCGCGTGCTAGCCACGGTCATGCCCTGTTTTCTTTTTCAGATGGTCCCAGTGGTCATTCGTGCACACAAATGTCAGGAAAGCAGAAGTCGCCTCAAAAATTAACTAGATGAGTAGAAAATTAGGCCATTAAGGGGAGAGTAAGAAGCTTATATTTTGACCAATATTTTCATCTGAGTATTTCACCAGACCATACATTATTCCCAATTTTAAAACAATTTGGTAGTAAGTATATGAATCAGCTTGTTATGAAAAAGCAAGCTGTTGTCTTTGGGTCCAGGTCTTAACTCTGAGACTGGAAGTCAAGTTCTTGGGGTCTTGTTGGAATGGCAGTGCAAGCGGGTAAGCCCCCTCTACTAAATGTCACCCTTGCCATGAAGTTGACAAGTGTTACATGTCTCTTCTTTGTGTTGCCAACTACCTGTGTCAGGTCCCATGCTAGCATACTTTTGTTTAATTTTTATGAGGTAGGTAGCTGGCTCTTTTTTCTACACACCTCCCAGCTAGCAAGTGATGGAGTCACGAGTTGAAGCCAAGGCTCTCTGACTCTAAACCCCACGTCATTCCCATTGTAATCAGGGATTCCAAACCACTGGTCTATAAATTGGTGTTAATTGCAAACACAGGTTTCCCCCGTCTGCGGTGAGGATGTCTGGATAACACCCTCGTGCCTTGGAAGGTGCTGTCATCCATTTGGAGATGGTGGACTCCCTTTCCAGGTGTTAGAGCCTTTTTTTTTTCCTTTTATCAAATGATGACGATTGTAAATGGCAGCTACAAAAATGTCCTAAGATGTCAAAGTGAAAAATTAGCCTCCTTAGGGCAATTTCCAAGCTTAAATTTGGAATCTTACTGGCCAGGGAAAGGAAAAAGCTGGGAAAGGGGCAGGGTACCCACTATCCCGGCAAGGGCTCTGCTCAGCAGACCCCCAGGATGGCTTAGGTTCATCTGGGGTTCATCCAGAAAAGGGCTGGGCGTCTCCCACAGATGAAGGTGATCAAAATGCTTCTTACAGCCATACTTCTTTGACTCTGAGTGACATTGGCTCTTGGGCAGTTTGGCAGAGTCCTGGTAATGCAAGTGACCTTTTGAAAACCACAATAGATTGATTTTTTTTTTTTGACTAGATGAACCATCTTTTCCAAAAGAGAGGTAAAACTTGTATTAATAGCTTTTGTGACCTTTATTTGTCACAGGATGGGGAAGGCTTGAGCTTGGAGGCATTTTAATTTTGATGTAACTCAGGCGTGACCCTCCTGAAGAAGTTACCTTTTTGCTGTTGTTACAAGAACAAAAGAGCTCAGGTTTTGGAGCCAGAAATAGCTGGATTTGAATCTCCATTTCTTTTGGCCTTTGCAACCCTGGACAAGGCTTAAGTGAAGGCTCTGTAACTTAGGACGAGGACGCTTCCCTCTCAGGGTTACTGTGGGGGTCAACTCTGGGGAAGACCCTACCACTGTGGTGGGGTCCCTTGTCTTTACTGCGAGGATCCGAGGTCCTGGGGATGAAAGCACCTGGCACGTTGGTGTTCACTGTGTCCTGCCATCCTGCTTATAGGTGAACTAGAAATCCGGGTGCCCTGAGTCACTCTCGTTTTCATTTTCCTGCTAATGGTTCCAGATTCCAACTGTGCCTGGGGAGGCTCCTACTACCTGAGTCCCTGAAGCTGCACAGAGGAAGCGCCCAGTGTCTCTAATCTCTGCCTTCACTCCTGTTTCAGTGCCAACAATATGCCCAAGCAGGTGGAAGTGCGGATGCACGACAGCCACCTCACCTCGGAGGAGCCCAAGCACCGGCATCTGGGCCTGCGCTTGTGCGACAAGCTGGGGAAGAATCTCCTGCTCACCCTGACGGTGTTTGGTAGGTGCCTGATGCCCCGCAACTCCCATCCCCTCTCCTGGCTCTGGGGGGCAGCTGGTCCTGGCAGACAGCCCTCCCACCCCACTGGAAGCCACACACTCTGCCTAAGGCCCTGGTTGCCTGGTCATCGCTGCCTCTGTGATAGAATCTTCTCCCGTCACCTGCTCTAGCTGTTTGTCCTCCTCCTTTGGATTCTCGTGGTTCTCAAATTTTATGCTTAGAAGTTTCCTGTAAGTGTGTTAGCATGCAGATTCCCAGGCCATACTCACAGAGACTTTGCTTTGGGCTGTCTGAAGTGAGGCCCAGGAATCTGCATCTTAGCAAACCTTCTAGGTGATTCCAAAGCAGGTGGTCAGTGGACTGCATTTAGGGAACTACCTGCATCAAGGTAAGACACACGAGTTGCAAAAAACCCCACTAAAATGGATCCCAGGGTTTGCTGGGAGCCATTTGCTGGGCACGTTAGCTAACGAGGTCATTGTGGAAGAGGCTTGTGCCGGTACCTTGGTCTGCTCCAGCTCCAACCTGCACGTCTTCCTCCCCTCCTTCCGGCCTCGCCCAAGCTCTGGTTGCTCTTAGGCTGTTGATGCAATCTCAGTCTCAGGTTTTCCACCAGGGTGTATTGAAAAGAGGGCAAGTTGCAATTCCTTGTAATGACAACCACACCATTTCCTTTCTCAATCCCTCTCTTGCTCTTCAGCTCTCACTTGGGCTACACAGAGAAGCGATGAACGATTCCTCCTCCCCACCCGCCTGCACACTCTCCGTTCCCTGGTCTCTCCTCTGACTCAGTCATCATGATGCTGAAGGCTCAGGATAGGACCAGCAGCTGCCACAGTTCAGTTCACTTAATAAGAAACCACAGGCATGCTGGGGTTTTTCAAGGGTTTATTCCATGTAAGAAGATCTCATTCATCACAGGACTTGAGGAAGCTGAACACTACGATTTTCACCTGTAGAAGAAAGAAAGCTCAGGCTTTACTCCTTCCACAATCCCAGAAATTAACACCATAACCCATGTCCCTAGGAACTCTCTCCCTCCTTACGGCCAGTGGTGCTGTAAGCAGACTTGTGTTTTCCCCAAGGGCCATTTATGTCAGCCACCTGTTTGCAGAGATCTGAAGTTTTCCTTGTGGGATCTTTGAGTCAGTAAAGTGAAAGGTTCCTGCCAGGATCTCTGCCTAAACTGTTTCCTCCCAAATTACATAGTTTTAGAGCTTCTCCTTGAACTCCTATAAGATCAGCGATCTAAAAACTAGATACAAGGACACAGTTGTCAAGGACAAATCTTGAGGATGAAGCCAAAGAAAGTAAATGGGAAGAAAAAAAAATGGAACTCACACTTGCTTGGTCAATCCTTTTATCTGGCCTCCAGTTAAAATGAGAAGACATGCATTAAACACCATGCCACATGGGCAGGCCTGGGCTGGGCGGAGAAGCAACATCTGGCGCTGTGGGTTATTTCTACTGACAGTTCTGGCTTCAAGTAGACAATATCCTCCAAGAAGTTGGAGTCAAGTGGCCAGGCCTTCAGAGGGTTCTCCTTGGCGCTCCTGGTACTGCCTTTTAGAATAGTTGGAGGTACAGAATGTTCTCTTGCTAGTCATCAAAATCAGCATCACTTATCTAATGTTGTTCTTGTTACATGTTATTCATCATCTAATCATGCGGAAGCACAAGAAAGGTCAATGTTACTGAAATCAGTCCTTCATTTGACTAGGGCAAACAATCAATTCAGATTTTCCCCATCCTTTTTAGGTGTCATCCTGGGGGCGGTGTGTGGAGGGCTTCTTCGCTTGGCGACTCCCCTCCACCCTGATGTGGTCATGTTAATATCCTTTCCGGGAGACATACTCATGAGGATGCTGAAAATGCTCATTCTCCCCCTGATCATCTCCAGCTTAATCACAGGTAAGACCAGCAGGCATACTCCTGCTTTCGGATTGACTGCAGAATCTCAAGTCAGTTGAGTGAGTGTGGTCCTCTATGTCATTTCACTTCTGAGCTGTGTTCCTGTCTCTAAAATGGGGATAATCAACACTAAAGAAAAAAGCTTGCCATCCATTGGTGTATCTCTTTGCAACCAAAGACAAAAAGGAAACACAGCCCCCCTGTTACAAGTGATGATATCTCTAGTGATTTTAATTTTTAACGTACACTTTTCTCAATTTTCTAAATTATACTTGTCTTCAGAAGCAGAAAAAGGTAAAACATGGAAAAGGAAACTATCTCGACTGTGTAATTGGGCATAGAGAAAGGTTGGCATTAACAGTAAATGAAATGGTACATATAAAAGCCCTTTGAGTTTTTCAAAACAAAGCTCCCCTTAGTGTATGGCATCACGCTCATTTATTTTTGGCTAAAAGAATTAATTATTTTATTTGAAAAAATTTTTAGCCCCCTCCATGTGCTTATACTGATAGTTCCCTCCTTACCAAATAATATTGCTCAAACAGGGTATCGATTGCTGTTATTTAGAGACTAAGGTCTGAGTGAAGGGTGGGAAGCTGGGCTTCGGTCCATATTTGGGCACCAACCAAAGAGATGACCTTGAGAAGCTGCCCCTCTGGACTGACTGCTTCATGAAGAAAGTGAAGCTCCAGTAACCCCAAGAGATGCAGATGCTACACCAGGTTGTCACAAAGCCTCAGCTGGTTGTCCAGTGACCCCAGTGACCTGAAATGCTGAGACTCAGGATCAGGCACTCAGGAGTTAAGCGAAATCTTATCATTCAGTCCTAGATTCAGTGAAGCTGTGCTTTTACCCTGAATGCTCCCTTCCAAACCGGAAAGAATGTTCTCCAAGCCTGTTTAACAGATTGCATGTAGGCCAACCTGGTAAGGAAACTAGCTCCCAATGGCTTGAATTAGATTTCTGGCTGAAAAGAAAAGTAGGTCACATGTAGGCTAGCTTAATTCAGTGATGTTCATGGCAATAACCTCCTCTCCCATGGCAAAAAGGACTGGTCTCCAGAAAGCGGTTCAATCTCTCTGTCTGTTAAAAGCAGGAACTGAAACCAGGAAGTGGACAAATTGAAGAAACAACTAGGAAAAAAACCCAATGGAGGCTGGAGTTTTTGTGACTTGCTTGGAATTTCCTCTCACTCCCTCAGTAGAGATGAAGTGCCCACCGCCGGCGGGGTACTTTACCGGGTGATCTCTAATCCCCACATGAGGCTGGGAACTATGTGTCTTCCTTGTGCTTCAGCTTGGAGAGATGAGAGCGCTGTGCTCACTCATTACTCTTAGATTCTCGATTTCGATTTCTCATAATATATTCAAAAGACATTTAGAGCATGACATAGAGCTACCAGCTTTTTATTTTCCCAAGTGAGGACATTTAAAAAAAGGTAATAAACAAGAAAAAACTAGCATGTACCAGCATCATCGCTTCATAAAAGAAAGGATACCTTAGGACCAAAAAAGCGAACAGGATGTAATCTCAGAATTAAAAATGGAATATCTTCAACTGTATTTTAACTTGCTACTGCACACTGACAAAAAAAGTTGTCACAGAGTTTGTAAACTCTGAACCGGGTAATCTCCAACTCTCCCCAGTTCTCTAGAGTCTTGAAGATGTCCTTGGAAAATGGAACTACAAACTGTGAGACTGAGCAGAAATATTCAGTACTGTCGGCCCTCCATATCCGAGGGTCACACATCTGTGGATTCAACCAATTGCAGATGGAACATGTTTTGGGGGAAAAAAAACCCAATAAAAAATAATATAATAGTAAAAATTATACAAATTGAAAAATACAGTATAACAACTATTTACATTGTATTAGGTATTATAAGTAATCTAGAGATGATTTAAAGTATACAAGAGGATGTGCGTAAGTTATATGCAAATATGCCATTTTATATAAGGGACTTGAGGGGTTCTGGAACCAATCCCCCACGGACACTAGGAGAGACCATAGTAGGAGGTTTAATTAAACGTTAATGCATTTGTGTATTGAAGGCATGAGCTACAGATATGTAGAGATGGGTCATTAATACAAACATAATAGAATTAATCCATCTGGATTTCTTTCAATCCAGGGTTGTCAGGCCTGGATGCTAAAGCCAGTGGCCGCTTGGGCACGAGAGCCATGGTGTATTACATGTCCACGACCATCATTGCGGCTGTGCTGGGGGTCATCCTGGTCTTGGCTATCCACCCAGGGAATCCCAAACTCAAGAAGCAGCTGGGGCCTGGGACGAAGAACGATGAAGTGTCCAGCCTGGATGCCTTCCTGGACCTTATTCGAAATCTCTTCCCTGAAAACCTTGTCCAAGCCTGTTTTCAACAGGTAATCAACCTTCTCATGTTCCCTCTTCCCCAGTCTTCTAAGTTATCAAGGTAATAAGTTAGAGACTCTTTCAACAAACCAATTCTGGGTAGCAATTTTCTTAATATTTAATTATCTTTGTCTAGGCCCAGGGGTCATATGAGGTGGTCTGGGGCAGGATTTGAGGATTGGAGTCTCATGGTTTTTGCCTTTTTAAACCTTCCCTTTTTTGTTCAGCTCACTTAATATCTTCTTGCTCTGGGATGTACCCCCGTTTTTTTTTCTTATATCTCTTCCTTTCCTTTTTGTTTCTGCTTCTGAGTCATCCACAGGCACATTTGCATCAGCCTTGTCCACAACCCTCTAGAGTACCCAGCGGTTCTCAAACTTGGCAGTATAGCAAAACCACACGTGGCACTTTTAAAAAATACAAATACCCTACAGAATCAGAATCTCCAAGATGGATCTGGGGCTTGGGTATTTTTTTAAATTGTGGAAGGAATATATGCAGATTGTGAAAAATTTAAATAGTATAAAAGCACATAAAGTAAAAATCAGAAGCTCCCACTCCCCTTCTCTTGAGCTATTCATTTTGAGAATTTTGTTTCCTCTCATATATTTTCTTTGCCACATATGCATGTGTGCATAATATTTAAAAGAATTCAGCCCAAGGGAATTGCATACCATGTTGCACTTACTTTTTCATTTAACAGTGTTTTAGAGTCATCTCTCTCTTTTTTCAATGATTGCATAGTATTTCTAAAGGGTAAATTTCTAGAAATGAAAATGTCCCCACAAAAAATTTTATATTTTGCATTTGCTGGATGTTGCAAAATGACACAACAAAAGTTTGTGGCAATATATATTCCTACCAACTGCATACATGCATATGTACTTTTTTAAACCTGTGATTTTTAAAAACAGATGATTCTGAGGAGTGGAACCACTGAGTTAGCTGCCTACACCCAGTCACTACCCTGTTTTCTAGCCCCAGGGCCAGCTTAGGTTAGAACACATCTCAGTTCCCACTAGCCCAGGTAGGAACAAAGCTAGAACCAAGGAGCCTCCTTCATGCATTTCCAGGGAATCACAGAAGAATGAACTTGAGAAACAGAAGAAAAGTCTGCATTCCCAGCTGCCCCCAAATGCACTTGTCAACCACTGCAGAGCCCAGATTGCTCTGTGTCGGGATATGTTATCTGACTCTAAATGCCATTTTGGTGGCACATGTAGCATGACCCTATATTGAAGGAAACGGTTCCAGGCAGGGGAAGTTGGATGGGGAATGAGTAGAAACAGGCTGCAGAAGCGGGTGTTTGCTGGGCTGCCTCTGTATAAGGTGCTCACCCCTGAGCCAGCCTGCTTAGGAAGAGAATTTACTTGCTTTGGAGTGATAGACGCAATTGAGTGCCAACTCTTTTCTTGACATTTTGGAAAGAGTGCTCCGGAACTATAGCTGCTGGAAACTGAGTTGGTGGGAGATGGGCTAGGGGGAGCATGGGAGGGCCCGAGAAGGGCAGATTTGGGCTCTGTGCCTGGTTATGGCTGTGCTGTGTGCAAAAATGAGATACCTTTAATCTCAGTCCAGAAGGCAAGACCAAGAAGCAGGCAGGCTCCTAGAGTTGTTGCTCTGGTTTTGGACTGAGCTTTTGTGGGGTCAGCCACACTCCCACTCAGTGACCTCTCTGATCAATGGGCAGTCTTTGCATAGAGCTGCCCATGGCAGGAGGCACTATCTGTGACACTAGGATGGAGACCTGAGCCATTCCCTGCCCCACCCTGGCCCTGACCTCACCCCTCCACTGCCAAAATTCCTATGAGGACTGAGCCTTAGTCTCCAATAAGCTCAGGGTCAAGGTCTTTTGGGGTTAGACAATCTGAAGAACAATAGTGTGGAATCCTTTAGCTCAGGGTGAGGGAGGGTACAGATTCCTTAAGCCTGACAAGGAGAGCCTTGAAGAGGACTTGAAGAGAGGAGGTCCGTGTAAAAGGATGTGGCATTCCCAGACCTGCCCGAGAGGTGTCCTCTGTGTCCACGAGGTACAGCTGGAAGTGATTTAAAATTACTCTCTCAAGCGGAGGGGGCTTCCTGACCAGAGTGAGAAATAAAGATGTAAAGGAGAAAGTGAGCTGTCCTCAGGGCAGAGGCTGCCTCCCCCAACGTGGTAGGACCTGCTGTGCCCAAGGCAGGGTCCCTGTGTCTTTGAGAGCAGGGAGGTCTCCTGCTTGCTGTTTAGAGCTGCCTCTGAACCAAGGTGAGGTTTCCAAGAGAGTAACCGGCTGTAGAGTGTCGCCTGACAGCATTAAATCAGGCCCAGTAATAGAGACCAGACGTGTTCTTGTCTTCCAGAAAATTCAGTGATCTGTGTATGTGCACTGAGCCAGTACTCGCGTGTATGAATGGCTGCCCAGCTCTCTGCTTTGCACGAGGATGCCGCTGGGAGTGGGGCACACAAGGCCCCTGCCCCATGGAGGGAGCTTACCTTCCAGGGGAGGGAGCTAGGCGGCCCCAAACATCAGGAAACACACAAGGGACTTAGACAGTAAGAAAGGCAGGATGAGGGACTGGGCAGTAACTAGGAGAGATGTTAGAGCTGAGCTGATAGGGGAGCAGAACGAGCTAGGCCCGAGAAGACCTAGGGGAAGAGCCTTCTCAGCAGAGGCACAGACGTGCAGAGGCTCAAAAATACTTAGTGTGTTCAGAGGAGAGAAAGGAGGTGGTGCGCGGCCAGCGTGGAGGTGTAGCCAGGGGAGGAAAGTGAAACCCAGCCCAGCCAGGACCTGGTGGGCCAGGATCAGATTTGAGTTTCTAAACTAAGAGAGTTTTAGGCAGAAAGGTGACTCTTTTTCTATTTTTTAAAAAAATCTGGCGGCTATGAATATAGATTGAGCCTTAGGTAGCCACTTAACTATAGATTGTACATAGACAAGAAGAAAGGTGGGTAGATCAGTTAGGTGGCTTTTGCAGGTTTTAAGGTGAGAGATGATGATGGTGGCTTGTGCTCAGGTAGACTGGAGTTGGCACCTGCTGTGGTTTTAATGTTGGTCCCCTTCAATACTCATGCTGAAATGTAGTTGCCATGGTAACGGTATTAAAAAGTGGGACCTTTAAGAGGTGATTAGGTCATGACATCTCATGGGTGGGATTTATGCTGCTATAAAAGGGCAGGTTTGGCACCTTTCGCTCTCTCTTTGCCCTTCCGCCTTCTGCCACGTGGTGATGCAGCAAGAAGGCCCTCACAAGATGCTGGCACCTTCACCTTGGACTTCCCAGCCTCCAGAACGGGGAAAAAATTAATTACGCAGTCTCAGGTACTCTGTTACAGCAGCTCAAAATGGAATAAGACAGCACCCAGATGGAGCTGTGCAACCCAAACAGGTTCTGTGAATCCAGAACTCGAGCAGAGAAGTAGGTCCGTGTTGCAGTGTTCACGTCTTTTTCACGGTTCTGGTTACTGTTGACATGAGATATTAGATATAAAACCCGTAGCACCTGGCCTCCTACCTGATCCTGCTGCCACCATTTTTTTAGGTCCATGAGCATTACTCCTTTGAACCCAAGCTTTGGCTTCCGTAGCATTCTCAGGATAGGCCGACAGTCGTTTGGCTTGATTCCCTTTTCTTTCCTGGAAACATGACTCTGTTGTTCACAGAACCTTTCCTTCTGATCACTCCTACATTCTCTCTTCACACCAGCGTTGCCCAGATGAAGGGGCCAGGGAGCTGCCTGTTTTCCCCTCACACAGCCAGCCCTGGGCTTCCTCTCTCCCTGCACAAGTGCACATGGCCAGGCTAGAACAGAGAGCAGCCTGCCTCACTTCACAGAATGCTGACCTCCCTTCTGTCCCATTGCAGATAGCTGGGAAGTTCAGCATTGCTTACTTGTGGCCCAGCTGCAGTGAGATTGGGTCCATATAGTTTAACATACAGCACGGGCAGTGGAAGGAATTCAATGGAGGTCAGGTCATCTGAGTTGAAGTCCCAATTCTGCCAACAACTCTATGACGTCCGACAAGTCACTTGACTTCCCCATGCATCCTCTTCCGTATCTATTCAGAGTTCAGCCATCTGTTACCTACTATGTGCCAGCACTGACATTCTAGGATTCTGCGTTGAGTTTTATTTTAATGCCTTTGGAGGTGGTGTTTTTTTGAGCTCAAATGTGGGTTTTTATAGCACTCTGCATGTAGGGTGCCTGGCACCTTTAAAAATAGGACCATTGCCACGAATGTCGAGGAATAGTGTGAGAGGTTCCTTGTGAGCCATCTGCACAAAAATGCTTGGGGAACATCAAGCAAGGCTTGGCATCACTGCCCGGAAGGAGCGTGTGTCTTTCCAGCTTTCATGTGGATCTGAAATATGAGCAAATGCTCCTGCCATGGCGGCTGCTGGAAGCTGGCACACTTGGTGCCCGGATGGAGATTCCCAGAGCAGCCTGGCTCAAGAAGGAGCCCAGACCCCTGTGATGGCAGCCTGTGATGACTGTCCAGCAGGAGCCAGGCAGGGAGGGCAACAGGTGGATCGTGCGTGGCTCATCTGACCCCTGCCAACGCTCTCTCCTTCCTATTCCTGAGCAGACCCGGGGCCCAACACAAGGGGCCAGGGGGACCATCTAACTGGGTCTCACAATTGTGAAGAGCATCTGAGTTAAGACGTTTGATATTATCCCTGAACTACAATCACGAGACCGAAAGGAAAAGACGCCCATCCCCCAATTTTAAGCTTATGTCCCATTATTGGACCACACTTCTTATAATACATTTACAAATTAATTTTATAAACTGTAATTATCTGTGATTAGCACAATTGTAAACCACTGCCTGTGTGTAATAAAACATCACTTTGTTAAACATACACATATAAAATATTCCCCAATTTTCCTAACCCTGTTTTGGCATTTCTTAATTATTGTTAACATATTGGGAACCTTAACATATATGAGTGGACAGGATTTTTTTTTTTTTTGACCTTTTAGATCAAACTTCAACTTTGTACTTTTTCTTCCCCCTTGCTCCATTAGATTCAAACAGTGACGAAGAAAGTTCTGGTGGCACCTCCGTCAGACGAGGAGGCCAATGCAACCAGCGCCGTGGTCTCGCTGTTGAACGAGACCATGACCGAGGCCCCCGAGGAGACGACCATGGTTATCAAGAAGGGCCTGGAGTTCAAGGACGGCATGAATGTCCTAGGTAGGCGAGCGGGCTGTGGGGGACTCAACTCTCTGGGGGAGGCCCCTGCTCCCTGTGGGGCGCCCTCCCCTGCGCCTTCTCAGGAAACAGTACCGCCACTGTCCTCTGGGGGGAGCAGGAGGTCCTCTCTGGGGAGCGGTTCAGGGTCGCTCGGCCCCAACGCTGAGCGACGAAAGGAGAGGGAGGGGCAGAGAGACCACGAGGGGACACGGCAGCCCGGAGGGCTCTCGGTCGCTGGGCGCGTCCCCCGACTCTGCGTGGTGTTGGCAAGTCATTTTCTCTGGCTCTCCATGTTCCTGAGTGACACATTCATTTCTTTCATTTCTTAAGCATTGTTTTTTAGCTGCCCGTGTGTACCAGTGCTATGCTAGGCGTGGGGGCTGGACCACGGAGCCCTCACAGTCTGTAAACAAATGCGGTGCCACCAGGATTGTAAGGTGTTGGAGCAGATGCAAAGGGGCTTTACAGATGATCTTAAACCTTCTGGAATCCCAGGGAGCCCTTTCCCTGAGCCCAGTGCCTTCTTAGCATGCCGTCCCAGAGTCTGCAGTTGAGCAGCCCCCGGTTGGGATCCTGTACGGACCACTTACCGATTACCTGGGGCAAGTTGCTCCACTCCTCTGAGCCTCGTTTGTAAAATGGACGTGAGATTTGCATTGTTTTGTAGGTTGTGGTGAGGATTAAATGAGATTGTGCATATAGAGCAGAATCGTCCATGCCATGTGCTCTATGCATGGAGCTATGGTCATTATCAAAGTGGAGGGAGAGCCCAGGAGCTCCATAATAAAGACCCCCAGGGGACAGAGATTTTCCATCCTGTGAGTGGCTCCGGTTTGTTCAGTTCCCCACCCGGTACCCGCCGTGGGTCCACTGCCCTCCATAACCCCATCCACCATCAAAATGGTGTCCCCAAGGCAAGAAATAGTGACATTTGACCAAGACCTGGGAGGAATGAGCACTCTGGATGGATGACGTTTATCCATCCAGGTGAGATTTCTAAGGGCTTAGGTGGCAGCTGTTTAGAAATAGATGAGCTCAGTGGTCCTCTCCATCCTTCGTCACCTAAAATATCAAATGCTCTTGTTTCCTTAATTGGGTTGCAGGATAAAATACAGGATATCCAGTTAAATTTGAATTTTAGATAAATAACAAATAATTTTTTAGTCTATGTTCCAAATATTGCATGGGACATACTAATACTGAAAAAAAAATTCATCGTTGATCTCAACTTCAAAAAGTAATTGAGTGTCCTGTTTGTCAGTTCTCCATTTGGTACCCCCTACTCCTTACCCGTCCAGAACGGTGGAGAGAAAAGGTAGAGGGAGCAGCATTGCCCAGCCACTGAGAAGCAGAAGCAGTTCTTTCTTATTTGTCCTGACAGGAAGCAGGTTGCGTAAGTGAGAGTGAGGGAGGAGATAAGATGACCAGGTTGCCAGGCAATGGAAAATCAATAAACATTGTTACTAATCAACCAGTGGGAAGCCAGAGGCAGAAGGATGGAGGAGAAAGAGGGAGAGTTCCTCTGAGAAAGAGGTTTTGTGCATATCCTCAGCATCTACCTGTGAGCAGATATCTCTGCCCAGATGTCTGTGACACCCTTTGAGGACCTTCCCAACTCCCACCTGGTCCCTTCTGTTTGGTCATAACTGAAGACTCTACTGTCCTTGTCGTCTTCATACTTGGGAGGAGGTCGAGGCCATGAGTAATGGGGCCAGGGCTTTGGAGTGAATCATTCAAAGACTTTCCTGGTCGTTTCCAGAGTCTTGGTGGATTCTGGGACGTCACATGACCTTTGGTTGTACTGGGAGTTTCAGCACAACTCACTACTCTCTCAGCTCCAGTGACCAAGTCTAAGAGGGCTTTGTTCACATGAAACACCCCCGTTCCAGTGAGTGATTTCAGTTAGGCAATGTTTACTGAGGGAAATAACCAGCTGAACATGGGTTTCCATCCAAGTGCAGATCAAGGCGCTGGAAAGCCAAGGGAAGTTAGATTGTTGAGAAACTTCCCATTTACAAATCGTGGCTGAAATAAGGTTCTTTCCATGATTTTCCAAAGGCAGAGATGGTGGCCTTTTTTTTGTTGTTTGGTTTTTCTGTCTTTCTGGTTTTTTTTTGGCTTTAGAAAGTCCCCAGTATTAAACATGCAATAAGTGAAGACACAACTGTAGCCCTGGCCTCCCACTTCTGTAAGGACCTGTTTCTCCCCTAAAAGACCTCCAGAACCAATTCTGGGCTCCACCTTAATCCAAACTGCTTAAATCAACTCCAGTTTCTCTTTTAAAAACCTACCTCCTGCATTCACAGCTACAGCCAGTTTCTGCTGACACCTAGGGGAGCTCTTTCATTCCAGTTCTTTGGGAACTTCAGACCTTGTGTATTTTCCCTTAAAATTTTGTAAATGCAATTAACCAAGTAATCCCAGCTATTCTCAGCCATAATATTCAGATTGATGCTTTTTTATTACCCACCTAGCAAAGTCTTCCCCACGGGCTTAAAAGAAGGACTTAGGAATAGCCCGAAATTGATTTCATACCTTACTACAGAAATAGCCCACTCTGTTCTGGATCTAATCTTCACTAAGCTTTTAACTTTCCTGGGTCAGTAACTCACCTGTGAAGTCATTTGTCAAGCTTTTTGGCCCAGAGCTAAAAGGGGAGATATTAAATACCAGGTATTAACAATCCTGAGTGCAAGTGCTAGAGTCTTTTTACTGTAGACAGAAAGAATCCAGCAAAGGGTAGTTAAACAATCTGGGGTGATATGTGCTTGGTATAGACAGTTGAGTGGGTTAGGTGACTGGAGAACGAGTAAAGTCACAGGTTCATTGAGAAATAACTGCCTTTTAAGAGAATCAAATTATAATACGATAATTTACCTGCTACAGGTCAAGAATCCAGGCATAACTAGACCTAATAGGAAACCCAATATAATTGGGAGGAACTAGATTAATCCTGCCAAACTGGGACAGGGTAGGTGTGGAGAAAAGGTGGGAGGGGGAGGGAAGAGAAGATGGTCTGTACTTCAGGGTCAGAGAAAAAGTCAGATGGGCAAGCAAAGTCCTGTAGCCAAGGGTGTAACAACATTGATTTATAGTCCATGCAAGTAGTTATTAATAGAATTGGGGCCCAAGACTGGCAATACTTGGTCATGGGTCAGGGAGCACATGGTGATTGGCACTCAGAAATCTAGACAGCCCCCGGGCACACAGTGTGCCCCAGTCCCTGCGTGGGCTGGGGGGAGACTCCAGGCCTCAGCGTGAGATACTGAGAGGGGAGGGTGGAAAGGATTAACTGGCATGGAGGGGAGAGAAAAGTTAGGCTTCGCCTTGGAGGAACTAAAGTATAGGGCAGCTTCCCAGGACCCTGGGCACCAGGGATGAGGCAAAGCCACACAGAAATAAGACCCAAGGTTGGGTATTGGAATTAGTCCAAGGCCTAGCACAATCTGATGCTGACATTAGAGGGTGGGATCAAATGCTTCCTGCCTGGGGTTAGGATTAACCTGGAGGCTGGCGTAGGGGTGAACTTAAACAAAAATCAAAGTTGTCAAGTGAAGGAAGAAAAGGGCTGAAAGGAGAGGAACTCCCAAAATCTGACAATGAAATCCATGTTGTCTTTATGATCCTGAAAAATATAAATAAAATTTAAAAAGAAAGCATTCTTAGCATTTTGACCATTGAAAGAACTATGACAAATTCATAAGTGATGGGTTAAATTCAAACAAACTGGGTAAATTGGAGTTTCCCAACTTGTCTTGGATTTCTTATTGCCTTCCATTTGATTATTCAACATTCCTCTTCCCCCTCATGTTAGGTGTGCAGCAAAAAAAAAAAAATTCACATTTAGGATTTTCCTAGTGTGAAACATACCAGCCATGTATTAATTTGGGCTAACATCAGAACAATCTAGACATAACCTAGCAAAGACTTTATTGGCTAATTGGTCTCTGCTGTTCCAATATTGACTCCAAAGTTCTCATGGAAATCCCCAAGTCCCAACAGGCCTTTCCAAGCCTTGTTAATCTATGTAATGATAGAATCTGCTTACACGTGGTTTCACATGATTTCATAAGTGAGGGGAGAGAGAAGACAGCACCTTTTAGTTTAGAGTGAAAATGAATTCATTTTCTTCAAGGAACTAACACAGCTTGCAGTTTAACTTGCTTGTGTGGAAAATGTTAAGGAAAGCCATAATTATCCAGGGAAAAGTTACTTTCAGTGTGAAATAAAATGCTTTTTTCTTTTATGCCTAATTCATAGGGTAACCGGGGGTGGGAACATGGCTCCATAGATCAGGAATGGTAAAGAATGAGAGGAAAGAAATACATACTTTATAATTTCCTTCTGTGTAATGTGATTCACCCAACAGGTCTGATAGGGTTTTTCATTGCTTTTGGCATCGCCATGGGGAAGATGGGTGAGCAGGCCAAGCTGATGGTGGAATTCTTCAACATTTTGAATGAGATCGTAATGAAGTTAGTGATCATGATTATGTGGTAAGTGGGCTTGTTCTTACTTCCTCTTCGTGGGGGTATGAGAAGGCCTTGGGGTCCTCAGAGGATGCTGGAGCCTTCTGAGCAGGAAAGAGTGGGTGTGGACCAAGCAAATGGCACTCCAGAAAGACTTTGAGAAAGGGATGAAAATCTCTTTCTCGGTGCTTCCCTTAGAACAGGGGTTAGCAAATTATGGCCCTTGGGCCAAATCTGATAAGCCATCTGTTTTGTAGGGCCAGCAAGTTAAGAATGAGTTTTATGGTTTTTATGTCTGTTTTCCTTAGTTCAGGCTGCTATAACAAAGTACCATTAGCTGGATGGCTTATAAACAACAGAAATCTATTTCTCATAGTTCTGGAAGCTGAAAATCCAAGATCAGGGTGCCAGTATGATTGGGTTCTGGTGAGGACCTCTTCCAGGTTGCAGATGGCTGACTTCTTATTGTACCTCCAATTGGAAAGAGAGCGAGAGAGCTCTCAGGGGTCTTTTTTGTAAGCGCATTGTCCTAGTCCCTTTTGGCTGCTATAAAAAAGTGCCATAGATTGCGTAATTTATAAACAATAGAAATTTATTGTTCACCATTCTGGAGGCTGGCAAGTCAAAGATCAAGGCACTAGCAGATTTGGTGTTTGGTGAGGGCCCATTGTTCGTAGATGACTCCTTCATGTGTGTCCCTACGTGGTAGAAAGGGCAAAAAATCTCCCTCAGCCTCTTTTATTAAGAGCACTAATTCTATTCGTGAGGGAAGAGCCCCCCTGACCTAGTCACCTCCTAGATGGGCCACCTCTTAACACCACTGCACTGGGCAACATATGCATTTGAGGGGAACACAAACGTTCAGTCCATTGCAATGACTAAAAAACAAAACTCAAAGGATGAATAATATTTCATGATACATAAAAATTATATGAAATTCACATTCAGTGCCCATAAACAAAATTTAATTGAAACAGAGCCATACCCATTTGTTTATGTATTGCCTGTGACTGATTTCATATTGCAATGGCAAAGTTTAATAGTTGCCACTGAGTATGTATAGCCCAAAACACCTAAAGTATTTACTATCTGGCTCTTTACATTAAAAAAATTTGCTGATCCCTGCCCTGGAAGAAAAGAAGAAGAGACAAGCTTGGAAAACCAATCAGCAATACTGAAGATGAACAGTATTAGAGACACAAAGATGAATCCGAGATACCGGGGACACGGCATGACCCAGGGAGTGTGGGGAACCGCTGCTCCAACATTCTGGCGTCCAAAAGCAACGTCTTAGACATGGGTTACTCATGATACACATAGAAGAGAAAATAGGCAGTTGTCAGGCATGCACACAAAAATGAAATTGCAGAGGACATATTGCAACTCTAAGTGCTCTTGGAAATCTGGTCTCATGCTCTGGTTTTACAGAAGAGAAAACTGTGGTCTGGAGACACGAAATCGTAATTCTTTTAACATCATCATGATCACTATTGTAATAAAAGCTCTTATTCATTTATTTCTTTTTACTTGCCAAGAGCCATGAAAAGTGCTTATTACCTATCAAACGTAATCCCAACAACCCTGCAAAGATGGTATTATTATTCCCATTTTATAGAAAATTCAACTGGGGCTCATCGTGGTGAATTAACTTGCTAAGATTATTTAGCTAAGAAAAGGAATAGCTGGAGTTTATATTGGTATCAAAATCCTTGATGCATAAGTGATAAGTTTTTTTGTTTGAATTGTCTAAGCCTGTGATCCCCAACCCCCAGGTGGAGACCGCTACCCTTTAGGGCCACCCCCCATGAAACTTAGGAGGGGCAGGCAGGGGCACAGCAGGGGGTGAGCTGCAGGCAAGTGAACAAAGCTTCATCTGTGTTTACACCCCCTCCCCATCACTCTCATCACTGCCTGAGCTCCGCCTCCCATTCCCCTGCTCCCCGTCCATGGAAAAATTGATTTTCATGAAACCAGTCCCTGGTGCCAAAAAGGTTGGGAACTGCTGGTCTAAGCAATATCATCTTCACTTTATTTTGTGTATATTTACAGTCAGTGGTTCTAAAATCTAAGGCAGCCCAAGAGAGCATGAGTCCCCACTTCCTCATTAAGGAAACTGTGTCACCTTCAGTTACTGGAACCTTCTGGGGTCCCATATCTATCAGACAGCTTTTTCCATGCATTTGTTTCAGACTCCTTGGATGGTCCTGTATGTCTGCTTAGAAAAAAATAAAACCACTGTCAGACCAAGTCCCATCTGTGCTCTGTTTTCCTTCTTTAGGGACTCTGGGTTGCGTGTTGCCCTCTGCATGTCCCCCGCCCAGCCACCTTCTCCCCATTCCTCCTCTGATGCGTTCCCAGCTTTCCCTACATGCCTTCCATTGCCTTCCATTGACATTCTAACTGCTTTTTGTCTTCTTCCTCTCCCTGCCTCTTACCCCACATCATATGGGCAAAAATCTGTTCTTGAATTATTTTTTATCTCCACAGAACCAAACACAGTGATGGGCCTGTAGTCAGTTCTTACTAAAACTGCAGAAATGAGTGGGATAGCTGAAAGGATTTCAGGATTTCAGATCCAGGAGATGTTCCTCAGGATTTCATGAACCATATTTAATAGACCTGGCTTGTTAAGATCATTGTTTTATGGTGCTTTTAAAACACGGAAAGGATGCTAGTAAAATAACATGTTCTCTTTTATTATCGTACCAATTCTTCAGCTTCCCAGGCAATATTAGATTTCTGAATATTTCTTTTGGATGAAGATTTAAGGTAACATAGTGGTGCTATAAAAAATATTTTTAAGTCCTTCCGATCCATCTCAGTCTGTTAGGAATTTGATAAATGATAATACATAAAGGAGAATAGGTCTCTTGGTTAAATATTAGGCTCTTCCTTGTTTCCTAGAATTTCTAGCACAGTGTGCATCCTTACTCTAATATGTAGCCCGTGTTTCTGTAACATGATGCCAACGACATGGGCCATGTATTGATTCCTTCCTGGAGTCATTTCTACCAAACTCTTGCAGGAAATGAAATCTTCTAGGAATAATCAGATGAGTCAGTGGGATAAAGTGTAGCCCCCTTCTCCCAAGGCATGGAGGGTGGTATGGATTACGAAGTTTCCTATTCATTGAAAACAAAACTCCTAAAGATTTAGCATCCTATCCCAGGAGATGAAAAGCGGCTGTGAGGCAGGAATAAGACCCGCGGAATGATTCCTGACATCTGTTGGTTACCTCATCAGGCACAGTCAGGAGGACACTGCATGACGTGAGATGCCAATTCTACACGTTTCTTTCATTCTTTAGTTCTGTGGTCCCCAACCCCTGGGGCCACGGACCAGTACCAGTCTGTGGCCTGTTAGGAACAGGGCCACACACCAGGAGGTGAGCAAGCGAAGCTTCATCTGTATTTACAGCCACTCCCCATCACTCGCATCACCACATAAGCTCCGCCTCTTGTCAGATTCGCAGCAGCTGTAGATTCTCATAGGAGCGTGAACCCTACTGTAAACCATGCATGTGAGGGATCTAGGTTGCACGCTCCTTATAAGAATCTAATGCGTGATGATCTGAGGTGGAGCTGAGGCGGTGATGCTACTGCTGGGGAGCGGCTGCAAATACAGATTATCATTAGCAGAGAGGTTTGACTGCACAGTAAATGTAATGTGCTGGAATCATCTTGAATCCATCCCCCCACCACCTGGTCCATGGCGAAATTGTCTTCCATGAAACCAGTCCCTGGTGCCAAAAAGGTTGGGGACTGCTGCTCTTTTTCTGATGATGTTAACCTGCTAATAAGCAGGTTCTGGGTAAAACAGCCAACCACTCTTTAAATGACCCCTCAAAGCTGAAATAATCAGAATTCTTTTGCACTCATTTCTATGAATAGTAATAATAGCAAAAAAATAGCATTTAGGAGATTATAATTATTATTGCTAAATTACAACTTATAATTATAAAATTCTTACTGTATGCTCAGCACTTTTTCAGTTACTATACATATATCTACCCACTTATTGTCAGGGAAATTATTATTATTATTAAATTATAATTGAAATTTACCAAATTCCTGCTATATACTTAATATTATTCTAATTACTTTACATGCATTAACTCATGTATTCTTCACAATAGTACCTAATATAGGTGCTTTCGTTAGCCCATATTCCAGATGAGAAAACTAAGCTCAGAGGTTAACTTGCCCAGTGTTATTGAGCTGTACGGAAGTGGTAGTGGTATCTGAATCAATTTTTTCTCACTTTAGACTGGATTGAATCCACGATTCTCCTGTTACAAGGTGTGTGACTTTAGGCAGGTTAGGCACTCTCTACACCCCCAATATCCTCTCTGTAAAATGGGATAATTGTAGAAACCACGTTATAGGGTTGCTGTGAGAATTACATAAGATTGTGATTGATAGTCACAGTGCATTTCCTATGTGCTGGGAACTATCTAAACATTTTACTTGGATTAATATTATAGCTATTTGTTCTTACCATTACTATCATTAGTTCAATCCATATTCTTTGTATCTCCGTTTTCACCAATTCTTTAAGAAGCCTAAAAAACCCTTAATTTTGGGGTGGTTTTCATATCCTCATTCTCTTATAAAGTTCTTTAAAACATTTTTTCAAAATCTGGAAAATTTAAACAGAAAGTAAAACTTTTGACGATCTCACCCCATAAAAACATAAAGTGAGAAGTAAAATCTCTGCCCACCCTTCCAATTCTCCATCCAGTAAAACACCATGCATCCATGCTGTTAAAGAAAAAAATCCCATGACACTTGTTGGAGCAGGGCGAGGCAGACTTATTCAGAACCATCACAGTGAGAATAGGGTCCGCAGATAGCAATGGGATTTTGCAGTGGGGCAGAGAGATTGGGCTCTACTCCAAATACAGCATGAGCAAGTGGGAATTTATAGCCACAGAGTGGGAGGTGGGGGGTGGCAGGGGCTGTGAATGGAAAATTACCAAGAGGAAATATCAGGGGTCAGGGAGTTTCTGGCTAAACCAAGCTAATGGGATTCTTGCTGAAGACAGGCCAGGGTGACCCGACATCACCTTGGGGATGGGGGAGGATGAGAAGCCCTATTGGATATCAAGGGTGATCAGATGTTGAGGGTGGGGATTCTTGCTAAACTGATTTAGCAGAGTTCTTTGTAAAACTGGATTTTATAAGGAAGTGTCCAGATGGGCCCAGGAGAAGGTTCAGGAGCCTCACTAAAGCAAAGCGTCTTTGTCAACCCATCCATTCTTTCATTCATTGCATATTCTATTCTGTGCTGGTAATGATTTTAGGCACTGGTGATATAATGGTGAATAAGACAGAGAAAGGTTCCTGCCCTGGTGAAGCTTACGAAAGGGAGCAAATAAGAATTCAGATGGTAGTCAGTGCCGCAAAGACAACAAAACAGGGCCATGGGATAGAGAGGGATAGCGCTGGCACGGTCACGTGATGGGCCACATGGGGCTGTCTGGGAAGGTGACTTTGATGAAGACCTGCAGAGTGAGAGGCAGGCAGCTTGGTGAAGAACTGAGGGGAGAATGTTCCAGGGAGAGGAAATGGCAAAGGGAAAGGCTTTCAAGGGTCAGAGCAGAGGTCTGGAGAGGCTGGAGCGTGTTTGGTTGGTGAGAGGGCCCTGCAGGCCACCATGATGGATTGGAGTTTATTTACTTGCAAAAGGAAGTCCCTGGAGGGGTGATAAGCCTGAAGGCTATACAAACTGATTTTCACTCTGTCCTGATGAAAAGTTCTAATCCACATATGATAACTCTCAGCAAAAGTTACTCTTTGGATAGCAAAACACCTATCCCCATGTGGACTGGGAAAAATGGAGATTTGTTTTGCTTCCTGAGCCTGAGTACAGACAGCACCTTTAGGCAACTCTCAGGATGTGTTTTTAATTCTGTTGAGAGGCTTTTAAAATTCTGCCTTCTTTTGGGATCTGTCCCAAACTGGCAAACTGACCTTGCTAATGGATATGTGTGGGACAGAACCAGGGTGGCTTCCCTGCAGGACTGAGGAAGTCTCTCAGTGACCTCCATTCTAACGTCTGTCCCACCATCTGTTCTGGGCCTGCAAGTCCCGAATTAATTACTTCAGCGGATTAAGACCTCAGAGGTCTTGAATAAATTGGAGCTAATGTAAATGGTTTCCAAAAGCTAACCAAGTAACATCTGCATATTGTCAGTTGCAGATAAGATTTTTTTTGTTTGAAATATTGGCTTCCAAACACATCAGAATGACTTGGGGTATTGGTTTAAAATATAAATTCCCCAAGTCGGCTCTGGGAAGTTCTGACTCCATAGGTATGTGGTGAGCCCAGGGAAATTGCAGTGTTGACAGACAGCTGGGGGATTTTGATGCAGGTGGCCCATGAGCACACAGACACTAACTGAGTTCTGGGGATCTCATGTGCTGTGGGTGAGTTTGTGTTTGTGCAGTTGAGACCAGTCCTGGGAGGGGTGTCATGGTGGGACCCTTAAGCTGGCAAGGGCTGAGGTACGAAATGGGTAGAGGCTAAAGTGGACAGAGCAGTAAGAAAGACTCGACAGGTCAGTTCTGGATGAATCAGGGGCCTGGAAAACAGTGCACAGAACTGAGAGTGGGACCAGTCCAAGGGCAGCATGGCGGCCATTCCCTCTCCCTAACTCTACCGTCACATCCTTCTAACGTAGAAACCAACCAAGAAGTACTGGGCACCGTTTGGCTTCAGAACTCTCAGTGGGGCCCTCAGCTTCTGTATGCACTTTGGTTTGTGTGCTTTATCTCAGGAGCTTTGAGTGGTGGCCTTGAGTGCTGGGCACTTGCCCTTTATTTTCCATGGAATGTCATTTTCAATGAGATAAGTCATTGATTTGGAAACCCAGGAACTCAGAATTCTGTCTCAGTTTCTGAGTGAAAGCTCAAGTTACTTGTCTTAAAAACAGGTGCAGGAAAGTAATGGCCCTAAAAGACATCATAGAGCAAAGGCTCTTCCCTTGTGCTTTAATGCTCCTACCAGTCCTGAAGACCAAGGTGTTTGGGTTAACAAGGGGCTCCTGCTCGCAATTATTTATTAACCCTAACCTTCACCTTTGGCCTTTGATTGACACTTTCCATTTACTATGAGAACTCGTGCTTTTCCAGCTATCTGAGCGCCCCAGAGGTAAACTGTTGCCTCTTTCTAGTTCCTTTGGCTCTGGGTCAAATGCATCCACCAGGGGAACTCTGTAGCGGGTCTTCCTTGGCAAAGACCCTTGAAAACATTTTCTCTCCATTCTACAAATTTTCCCAGAAGAGAGGGAAAATTGAATGGCACCCAAAACAGCTTGTATTTGTATTTTTCTAGACCTCTTTAATTTTTCTAGGCATCTTGGGAAAGAATTAATCTCTTGGTTTATGAAGATAAATGCCTTTTGGCTTTATAGAAAGGTGCATTGTGCTCCGTTATTTACAATCTCAGTGAACAAAGTGCTGGCCCCTTAGACCACCCCGCTAGTGTGAGGTGTTGTGACTGACTGTGGGCGCACCAGGAGAATGCAAAATGGCAGGAAAGCCGAGGGTTTCATGACATGACAGCAGGTTTGTCTCAGACTCTCCAGTGTCAAGGGAAGCAGTCCGCAAACATGGCCAGCCTGCACCCCAGGGATAGGGCAAGGAGAAGCTTCAGACTCAACGCTCGTCTGGGAAGACAGTAGCTACGCTAACGTTTTAACTAATTAGTGTCAGTTATAAATCACTTCTTTCGGGATCAGTTTCCTCTTGAGAGAATATTTTTCTTATAAAAACATCTGCAACTGGGTAGCCCATGAGATGTTCTAGAAAGCCTCACTAACTCAGACTTGACTCATGAAGCATGGGTGACAAGAGGACATGGGGTATATGTGTGAGAAAAGAACCCACAAGGGATTCCTTTGTTGGGAGTCAGAGATCTAATAATGGCGCTGGCAGGGGTGCGGCAAGGGGATTTTGAGCAGTGCACACTGTGCATGTTCAAAAATGTGATCCTCGCAGCAACCCTGTGAAGTTGGAGTCAGCCTTTCTGAGCCTTGACGTTCATGTCTGCAAAATGGGAATAAGCCACTAAGCAAGATCATATAGCTGGTAAGTGACAGGACAAGCTCCACGTCTCACGTAGTTGTATACAGGGCTCTCATCTACTCCGCACATTTTCTCTTTAACCTAGGAAAGGACTTGCTCTGGGAATAATTGCAAAAAAATAGTCTGTTTAGGTGTTCCTCTCAGGAACAAATTCACGCCCCAGCAACACCACGTTGGATAACAACAGAAGGATCTTGCCAAACATGCCAAGAATAGAACAAGATTAGAGAGAAAATGGTTAGCTTTCCCCAAGAGTGAGGACAAAAATAGTTCCCAAGTGCTCTGTAAAATAGGAGGACACAAATTGCTTATCTACAAAGAGCTATGACTTCTCACTAAAGGGAAGCGGTGTATCTTGGTGGGGAAAATCCCCCAGTCGTGGAGTTTCACAGACCTGAGATTGTTCTTCTCTTACTTCCTGGTTTCGTGGTCTTGGGCTGATTATTTAACTTTTCTGAATCTCAGTTTCCTTATTTGCCAAATAGGAATAATGATACCTAGACTTTAGGGTTGTGGTAAGAATTAAGTGAAGCAATGAGTGTGCAGCTCTCACCATAGTGCTTGAAACACAATGAATAATAGTGAGTATTATTGTTAGAGTAAGTATGGAAAAAATACTTTCAGACTTAGAAGTAATAAAACCACATTTCTGTAAATGTACTTTTTGGCTCAGATGGTTTTCTTATTTTGGCATCTCTCTCTCTCTCTCTCCATCTCTTTTGTTTTAATATATTCTCTATCTTTTAAGGTAAAAACAATGCAAAGTTACAACCCCTCCAATTTATAGCTTTCTGTAAAGCTCAAAAGTTATCCACAAATGTCTAGGCTGGAGCTGAGGAACACAGAAATCAAACAAGATTTTCAGGGACATAACAACATATATCCAGTGCCTCTCAGCTTTTAACTTGGTAGTTACCTAAAAGATAGTACAGCTAAAATTTGCTAAAGCATGTCTTTTTTTATTCCTAAAACTCACCTTAACAAGCAAGTTTGCGTGTGGACTTTTCATCAGAGCAGTTACCACCAGATCCATAAAACAGACTTCAGTTAGGGCAGTCAGCCGAAGTGGAAAATAACATCTTTTGAATCTCATGACCCTTTCTCAGCAAAACTCTTTTTGTATGGAAAAGCGAAGGATTTTCCTCAGGGTGCAGAGCCTCAGATTTAAGTTCTGAATCCGATAATGATCTCTTCAATGCTTTTTTTTCTTTTGTGTTTTTCAGGTACTCTCCCCTGGGTATCGCCTGCCTAATTTGTGGGAAGATCATTGCAATCAAGGACTTGGAAGTGGTTGCTAGGCAACTGGGGATGTACATGGTAACAGTGATTGTGGGCCTCATCATCCATGGGGGCATCTTTCTCCCCCTGATTTACTTTGTAGTGACCAGGAAAAACCCCTTCTCCTTTTTTGCTGGCATTTTCCAAGCTTGGATCACTGCCCTGGGCACCGCTTCCAGGTAGAGAATACAAGAAATTGCCTTTCTTTCTACTCACTGCTTTGGTCTCTTTGCCACTTCCTATTTCTCAAAACCCGCCCATCACAAAGTTCAATGAGAACACTTTTCACATATTACTAAAATCTTCTTGAAAAGATGAATGCTTGGCTCCTTCTAGGAACTTCTGAGCCTTGTGATAAACATTTTTGCTGGTATGCAATTGTATTGGAAATAGGATCTCATACTAAAATTTCCGGATGCTATTAATTTGCATGCCTAATTTGCCACATATAACATTAGTTTCTTTTTAAATGTTTTCTAAAGGGGTGTAACAGGATACTGTCCCATTAACATCTCACCTGTGAGTTGGAAAATGCTATCCTAAAAGATCACTCTATTGAGGTTTTGACAAATGATTTTTTCAAAAGTAGGAGAACCAGCTTTTACAAGATAAATGGTACTGTAGGTAAGCTTTTTCAAACAAACAGAAGCCAGCCAAGTCTTTGACCTTGGCAAGAACTTCTAATGGACCATTCTGCCCCAGACTCGACATTGATGGAGAGTCAGTTCCTCCTTCGTTACCTAGTTCCAGTGCCTAGGTAGCCAAGAGGACCCCAGATTTAAGCAGAGAAAAATCATTTTTTACAATATCATCTTGGATTGAAGTTAACAGAAACAAAACAAAAAGAAATACATAAGAAATGTCTTACAATTTAGAATTTTAAAGACTAGAGAGTTTTATTCTTTAAGCTTGCAATAGTCATAGTCGGTGGTGGCTGAAATCATAAAACAGGTGGCAGGGAGGCTGAGCAGACTCTGAAACCCATAGCTTATGGTGGGTCCTTGTTGCAGAGCCTGTGACCATTCCCTCTGCTAGTGAGGTGGTCACTCTGTGACAGGATGGCCCGCCACTCCAAGGCTACTGGCCAGGCAGTTAGGTTTTCCATAAGTGACCTAACAGACCACTAGTGGTGACCACCTGAGAAGCCAAATTATATTTCCATTTTGCAAATCAATGAGAATTTGGTGCTGGTAGAAAACAGAGTTTCAGAAAAGGCTGGGACATATACAATCTTAGGGATCTAGATTCTGCATCCAGTTTCCTAAGATGAAGAGAATTACTACAAAATTTCCTTTTTCCTTCCTGGTCCTATAAATTTCTTATGGTTAAGTATCTCTGTCTAGAAAGATTCTCTCCATTTGGAGAAAAAGTAATTTTTTTTTTTAAAAATGAAAACAACCTTGTTTAATTTTTTGTTTTCTGGTTATACGTGTGGTATAATATTTGCTCATTGTGAAAAAGTTCAGGCAGTGAATAAAATTTTGAAGAAGCAAGTGAGCTTCACCAGTTAGTTATGCCATCAGCCAGTGATAATTGCTAGTAACCTTTTAATTAATACTTACAGCAATACATCCTTCCAATTCTTACTGTGTATATATATTGTTTTGTAAACTGCTGATTTTTACTGGTCAACAAACCATAAACTTTAGACTATAGACTTTACTACGGTGTTTTTTATTTATTTTTTTTATTTGGACAGGGTCTCGTTATTTTGCCCAGGCTGGTCTCAAACTCCTGGGCTCAAACTGATCCTCCTGCCTCGGCCTCCCAAGTAGCTAGGATTATAGGCACCCACCACCATGCAGCTTAGAGCATTCTATTTTTTTAGTCTTGCCTATTTGTTTTAAAAATAGGGTCTCACTCTGTCGCCCAGGCTGGAGTGCAGTGGTGTGATCATAGCTCACTGAAGCCTTGCACTCCTGGGCTCTATTATCCAATAGTGCATAATAATGCAGTGTGTGTGCTGCAGTACAAACCCCACCCCACCCACCCCTAGTGATGTACATTTCAGTCATGTCTATTAAACAGGGCTGTGACCAACATCTTATAAACACATCTCTGTAAGGTTATCTGATGACCTCCCCCTCAGGGAAAGTGGAATTTCTAAGTCAAATGGTGTACACATTTGACAGTTTCGAAACATATCACCATCAATAATAAAACGAATAATAAAAAATTCATTATTTTATGTTCCTACTAACTGGGTTTGAGAATGTAACCTTCTCTACTTACTCAATAGCATTGGATATTATCAATCACTTTAATGCTTTTTATTGGTGAAAAATAATCTTATTGAATTTGCATATCTTTGATTACTAGTGAGGGGCAACGTCTTTCTGTGTTCTTATGGACCATCCTTCCCCTTGGCTCTGCCTCATGAATTGTCCATTAACTTGCTCAATTTCCTGTTGGGTGCTCGTCCTTTCCTCATGGGTCTTCAAGCTCTCTTTCTGTATGAGAATATTAGCTCACATGTCACATGTTGCAATTAATGCACCTCTTCACTTGACATTTGTCTTAAAAATTTACAGTGCTTTTTCCCTGTAGAAATTTTTAATTTGTACTTAGTCAAAGCTGTCAGTATTTTCCTTTAGCATTTAGAATTTAGATTTAGCTCATGGATGTCTTTTCTACCCAACATTACAAAACATTACTTTATGTTTTCTCCCAATGCCTTTATGGTTTTGATCTTTAAACGACTTAAAAAATATTATTATTAATTTTTTTTCTTTTGAATGACTAAACCATTATCTTAGTACCTTTATAAGACAAGGTGGATCTTAAAGGGATTTGAATGGTTTGCATTTGTATTTAAATCAAGACAAATGCTTAGGTTATCTGACCAAGGCAGCAAATGTTAGACCCATTTACCTCCCTCAACCTATATTTCATTTGAAAAAAATGTGGTTTTAATCTTTGGTTAAAATGTGGCTTTCGCCTGGATGTGGAATTTCTTTTTTTAAAAAGGCCGTGTGGCATGAGTCACGTACCGGGAATTAACTCAGGGTTTCTTTGCCATAATGACCACGAGGAAAAAAAAAAACACAAAACCCAAGGACAGCCCACTAAATATCCTTTCTGCCTCCTTGGACTTTGTACTGAATGAGGATGTCAAAGGTGGTTAACTGGCTTTTCCCAGTGGTTCCAGAGGTTGGAGTCAGGGAGGACAGATGGAGGAAGGGTGGCCTGGGACAGACCTGTCTTCATCCCTCTGACTTTGGGCATGCCATTAAAACTATTCTGGAAAAAAAAAAAGAAGAATCTCAAGTATCTGGCAGTTATTATTAGCAACATTTGAAGACTGTCATATGGCCATGGAGGCAGGAGCCAAAAGCAATGTCAGAATGTCAGCCTGTCAACACAGGAAAGCTTGAAATTAAAATGCTCAAGTCCCAGTTTGCATTGATTATGTGTGGATTTTTAAGATGCAAAGCAATCCTGTTCAATAGGGAAACAGAAGATATTTTCATACCTTACCAATCATTTGTTCTAATCTATTTAATTGTCTAAAGACCCTTTGATAGCATTTTGGAAAAATGAATACAATAATAAAAATTAATGTATTCCAGCAATCCCAGAAGAGTCCTTAGATTCATGCAATCAAGAATCCTGGCACAGCTGAGCAGTCATCTCAGACCAGTACTGGTGTCCTGGCGACCCTTCTAAAGGGCCCCAGGAAAGGGTGGGTGAGAGGAATGAAGGGACACTAGTTTCTCATTAAGACAGTGGGGGTGACAAGCCAGGTCTGAGGATATCCCCTGCATGCGAATGAGGCCAGACCCTAACTTTACCCTGAGTTCATAAGGTTTTAGTAATGAGATCCCTCATCATTCATTCCTTCTCCCTACCTAAGACCAAGGAGGTGGCACGAGACACACCCCTGGCTTGCAATCACAAAGAATATTCCGGTAAGATGAATCTGGCTCTGCTAAGGTTGTTTTAGGAGCTTGTGGGCCAGTGGTTTGATAAGATGCAGATTTGGGCATCCCTAATTTTGGAGCGTCTGGTTCCTTGGTGCCAAGGAGGCCTTGGAACCTGCCTTTCATTTGGCTTCCCTGAAGCAGAGTGTCTTCTCCCACTCTCTGAGAAACCAAGACCTCTACTTGGATCTATGTCTTGCCTAGTCACTAATTCTGACCAGTAAAAGGAGGGATCTCTGACTAAGACTATAAGTGCAAGAGAGAAAACACCTCCAAATGCTGCCCACATTGCAGGTTTTCTAATTCGCTGTGCTAAGGTTTGAATAGGAAAAAAAAAAAAAAAGGATGGAACACAAAGCGTTCCCATTGCAGTTTGAGTGTTCTGCATTGCTTTCTACATCACTCAGCTTTGCAGCAAATCCACCCACCCTCTCCTGCACCTCTATCCACATTGAAATAATATTCTGGCCTTCAGCAACCCTGGCCTCACAGGTCTCCAATTTTAGAAGACATATGAACATGTCAGAAATTCTGGCCTTCAAGGCTGGGTCATGTGGTCATGAATCCACATCCCACGCCTGGGAGGGGTGGGGGTGAAGTCACTCCATATTGTGTCTTTGATTAACTATGGAGCACATACTTTTCTGCTCTGTGTTGTTGGAGCAACTATAGAGTTGGCTGATGATGATATATATCAGGGAGTTGGACTGTCTGTGATATTCTCCAGTGAATTGCTCAAAGCTCAGGTTTGTGCCAAAGGGTGCTCAACATGTTTGTTGGTCTCAAAATTAGTAAACCTTGCTCAGGACGATTCCCAGGAGCTGGATGCAATCCATGTAGTCACTTTGGTGGAAGCAGCATTTCTAGCATGAAATTATGGGTCATTCAAAAATTCCTCCACCCATTTCACTGTTGACAGCTGATTCTTTTCTGACAGTTTTTTTTTGTTTGCTTTGCAGCCCAATTTATGTGGGCAATCAGATGCACTTCAATATTGAATCCAAGATGGAAACAGTGACCAGAGGAGAAAGAGCTACTGGAAGCTCTGAGTAGATCTCAAAAACCAGAACCAACAAAAACATTTTGCTTCCTGTTAGCATCTCAATAAGGTTGAATTTGAGCCTCCAACTCGCTGGTTTTTAATTTGGCTCCATATATTGCCTTTTTGTATGTCACATTGCTCGATTGGAACAAAAGAAGAAAAACTTTGCAGTGACATTCCAGTTTGTGCTTTGTCCTGCTACTCTAAAGTGGACCTGACCTTGTCTCTCTCTGTTTCTTTGTCCCTCAGTGCTGGAACTTTGCCTGTCACCTTCCGTTGCCTGGAAGAAAATCTGGGGATCGACAAGCGTGTGACCAGGTTTGTCCTCCCAGTTGGAGCAACCATCAACATGGATGGCACAGCGCTGTATGAAGCGGTGGCCGCCATCTTTATAGCCCAGATGAACGGCGTCGTCCTGGACGGAGGCCAGATTGTGACTGTGAGGTGAGTGAGGGCGGTGGGGGAAGCATAGGAACAACTCCCACCTTACGCCCCCTCCACACTAACTCCATGTGACAGAGGCCACCTGAATTCCAGTTCTCTGGCTGAAAGAATGGTGAGGGTAGTAAGAGGGTTGCCGTTAGTCATCGAAGGGAAAAGATTGCAATAGAAAGAAGACTTGTGTTAATACCTTCTGTTTGTATTGCTCATGTCACCTTGTTATGGAAATTGGATATTATTTGACTTTTAGCAATCTTGTGATGTAGGCAAGGCAGTTATTTCTCTGCCCATTTAATAAATGAGGACACTCAGGTGCTAAGAGGCACGGTAGTTTGTCCAAGACCATAGCACTAGTAAGGAGCTTGGAGGGCTGTCACTGGGGCCAACATTGGTTGAGTCTGGATCCAGTGTTCTTTCATTAAAATATGCTCCTATGTTCCCTTCACTATTTTAGGCAGAAATGAAGAAATACTGGAAGAAAGATTCTTCAATATGATGTATACTATTTTATTACAAATAGATAGCACATAATTTTGCTTTGCTAAAGCTATATTTATTTATATGTATTCCTCATAAAAAAATTCAGAAAGAACCATTTCCCAAGAGATCACTGAAAACACATTGCTTCTCCCTAAACTTAAAGATTATACATACTGGCCAGGTCAACTCCTCAGTTTCTTGTTTATAGGTAGAGCATTGAAAAAAATCAGACTTCCAACTATCCAATGTTGTATATTGACATTATAGCAGGAAATAAAACTTTTTGCAATCATCATTTTAATATTATCACTCTCACTACACAAAGGATTTTCAATTAAGCCAGGAGCCAATTTCTGGCTTTCATTAATGTAAAAAGACCACAGTGATCCAGTTTTATGGTCTTATTGATGTCAAACTACTCCCAGTGTCTCAATTTCCTCATCTGTAAATGAGGAAGGTATTCAGAATTTGGGGCTGTAAATTGGTAGTTTGGGTTGAATCCAGCCGGGTGTTGCTTTGTTTGTCTTGCAATATGTTGCAAAAAATTAGAATTTATCCTCTAATAAGATAGGTGCTCTTGAGTTCCCAACACTCTCCCCTTCTTCCTTTTACTTATATTTAGCCTGTTGCACCTGCTACCATGCTTGGCCCTTTAAGACATTTGAGTTTGTGAACCTTTTTTTTTTTTTTTATTTTTGAGACAGTCTCACTCTGTTGCCCTGGGTAGAGTGTAGTGGCATCATCACAGCTCATAGCAACCTCAGACTTCTGGGCTCAAGCGATTCTCCTGCCTCCCTTCTGAATAGCTTGGACTGTAGACACACACCACCACGCCCAGCTAGTTTTTTCTATTTTTGGTAGAGATGAGTTCTCACTCTTGCTCAGGCTGGTCTTGAACTGCTGACCTCAAGCTATCCTCCCACCTCAGCCTCCCAGAGTGCCAGGATTACAGGTGTGAGCCACCGTGCCCAGCCAGTGAACCTTGAACTTTATGATTTATATGTTTTCTTTCCTCTCTCAAATACCATAAGATCAGAAAATACTGGGAGTGGGTGGGTCACATTCTGTGTAACGACTGCATTTGCAGTAGAAGGAGAATTCTAAAAATTGGAACAGCCAAGACCCAGGTGTTTCACTTTGGGAAATGAATTAGGTAGACACTGAAAGACACTTCCGGGCTCCGTAATGATAATAGCTCCACTCTCTTGGTCCCTCTGAGGTGGCAGACTCTTTACAGACATTGCCTTGAACATGCCCGGTAAGCCTGAAGGCATAGTCATCATCCCCATTTTAAGGAAAGTGAGGCTCAGGGAAATCATCTGACAAACCCAGGTCTCGTGGCTGAGGGTGCCAGAGGCACAAGTCAAATCCCTATTCCACAGCCAACCTCTTTCAGCTACACGTCATTTCTGCCTTCTGACCATGACTCAAAGGAAGACATTAGAATAGTGGTTACTTACTTTTTTCCTTGGAATTAGAAGAGGCAATGTTCTTGGGTTAAGGCACTAGCCTCTTTTCCCCATTTCAAACCTCAGGTAACACTGTCAACCTCTATATTAGAAATTCCTGTAATAATCTGTTGTCATGGTATTCAACAGTTCATTTTCTGGGAAGCCTTTAGTGGCCTAGGGCCCATTTTAGGAGACGTCTTCTAAAAGGCAGGTTCTTTTCAGGTCTGATTTCTCTACATGCTCAGATTATTAAAAAGTCCAAACTCAGGGACTACCCAGTGTCTGTCACAGTGCTGGAGATTGCCACTGGCCACGTCCACCATGTGTTCTGGGGGCTGATACTGCCCCGGAATGGCACTTTAGAGTCCGTGCTTGATCTGCCTAGCTCTGAGGTATTCAACCAGCTCAGGGACGTTTTTGTTGGAACACACATTTCTTCTCTGTCCTCATAACCATTCCGAAAGACTTAATGAACATCCCATATGCATCTGAGTTCAGTTCAGCAACTAAGTCAGCAAATAGAGAAAAGAAAAACTCGCCATGTCTAACGCATAAATACACACAATATGAAAATATCAAATAATAATCACATTTATTTAATCTGCTAGAATGTATTATCTGAAAAATTTCCTAGAGAATCTCTTGGCAAACCATCTCATCTAGGAGAAAAGGAAACTGCGGCTCAGAGAATAGGTCACACACAGCCATCTAGAGGAAGACCTAAAATTTAGGTTTCCAAGTGCTGATATATGCTTCCACTTATTAAAGCTTTTAACTTGTGATCCTAGAAACAGCCCTAATAAGTAGATATTGGGTTCTGTATTTTACAGAGGGAGAAAATGAAGCAAGTAAGGTGAAGTAACTTGCCCGAGATCATACTGTTTGTTAAGTGGTAGAAATGGGATTTGAACCCAGGCCATCTAACTCTAGGGCCTGTGCTTTTAACTATACACACAATGCCCCTACTATACTATATTGTCGTGTTGCATATATTAATTTATATATGCAATATGATCATCACAACCGCCCTATGGTGTATGTACTATGGGGGAGCTTCAGTTTCCTCATCTGTATAATGGGACCAATAATCACACAGTCTAGGGGGGTTGAAGGCATTGTGTCTGGTTCATAGTCACCTGTCAATAAACATTAGCTACTAGTATCATTACTATTGTTGATGTCCAATAAAATACAATAATACACCTAGAAGAGTAAAGAAAAACGTGTCAGTGACACGGTGAGTACCATGATGTTACTGACAATGAAAAACATGCTTTGAGTCAGTGTCAGGCCTTCTAATTATATCTCATAAACATCGCGTGAGACTGCCAACCTTACCTGCTTTAATATTCACAGATGGAAAGAGCTTCTTAATGAAGCCCTTTGTTGAGCACAGATGACTTCCAGCCCTCAATTCTTGGCCTTGCTGACAACCTTGCTTCCCATCAAGGCCACACTATTAGATAGGAACTTAGACATGGGAGAATGGAGCAGTGACTAAGTGATTAGGGTTGTGCATGTATTCTATAAATTTACCGACATAGGGTTTATTTTCCATTAAGAATCATGCTACTGAGGATTTTCACTTGGCAAAGGATAAGGTTGGCCCCTGGGCAAGCTCAGCCAAGTCCTCTTTAACGGTAGACACCACAAGGACTGCCTCTGGGAGGACCCACCGCAGGTGTGTGTTGTTCACTGCCTGCAATTGAATTGGAGGAAAATAGCCAAGTCTAGCTTCGTGCTGTGCTTCCAGATAAATTCCTCGTCCTTTCCTTTCCCTGCATGCAGGAGAGCAGTGATGAGGAATTCTCAGCATGTTCATTAATTCACAGAGTTTTTAGTGTAGGGAGGGATCGAGGCAGCAGGTGCTGGAATAAGCAGACCAGAGTTCAAATCCCAGCAGACCGTGTTCAAACCGGGTGACCCTAGGTTTCTCCACCCACCCGATCCATGGTTTCCTCGTGGGCTTGCTGTGAGGTTCTGCTCTGCTGTCGTGTGTCTGGGACCTTGCACAGGTTCCAGGAACCAGAGGAGTGGAAGGCCAGGCAAAGCAGAGAAGGATGCTGGGACAGAGGGGAAGTCACTGCCCACAGAGCTGTTGCAGGGCTTAGAATTCCACAGACTCTGCCCATGGGAGGGCGAGGGTGTTACTGGGGTGGAGGAACACAGGGGGAGCCAACTTCCAGGAAGAATTCCCTTTATAGGGTTTTGTCTCACACAACGGAAAGATAGCTGGATAATGTGGCCGCAGCACAGAGGGACGTGCAAGAGTGAGTCATAACAGAAGCAACTGATGCTGTAAATAAAACAGTCGAGGCCAAGACTGTTGGAACTTGGGAAGTTCCCCTTCCCTGGTGTTCTGTTTGTCTTGGTCAAATGGCTGAGAATTCCCACCTCCCAGCGCTTGGGGCTTTAGGGAACTTTTCATTGCAAAGCAGCCTGGCCCTGCCTGGATTTCCCAATGAGAATAACAATTCACATTTACTGGGGTTACATGTGCCTGGCCTCCTCAACGTGCTTTTTGTTAGCTCCTGAAGGCTTCTGACTCCTGAATGAGGGAGATGCCATTGTTATCTCCTTTTCACATAGGAGGAAATCAAAGCGCAAAGAAACTAAGTTGCCTATAAATGATTGGTTAATAAGTAGCAGAGCTGAAATTTGAACCCAGGCTGTTCAACTGCAGAACTTTCACTGATAAAAGTACCTTCTGTAACCCAGACAGATTCAAGGGAAATGGAGTTCTCTGAACCCCAACACCATCTCCACATTGGCGGGACAAGGGGAGGGCACAGACGAGGTCTGTAGGTCACACCCAGGGGACGTGTCTATATCAGCACAGGCCGAAATCTGGAAAGGGTAGCAATCTGGAAAAGAACAGCTCAAATCACAGACTCTCCAAGGGCCTTCCTTTCCTCAAATGTAAGATGAGGGAAATTCAGGTCCCTTGCAACTGTAAGACCCCGGGATTCTGTGCTTGTTATACCAATGGCCCGGATTTGGTTAAAACGCTTTGGGAGTCTGTCTCTCAGCGTGGAGCCTGAGTGCCTACTCCAGAAACTTGAGAATCTCATAACTGCAAAGAAAGCAACCTCCTTTTCTTTTTAGCACCCACCAAACCAACTTGGGAATGCACATTTTCAAAAGTACCCTTGCATTTTGATGTGGCAGCTTGTATAAGTGGCATCCAAAAAAGGGAAAAAAGGTCACTGCCTTCTGCTGGACCACAGACACCCTCCCACCCTCCGCCAGTGTCTCGATAAGGCACATATACCCTAGATTAATCCTCTCCCACAGACAAACTTCAGAATGGTGCTGGGTGTGCCCTTGGCGTTGCTTGGGAAGAAACTGATGAGTTGCTTCAGAAAGAAAGCCTCTATTTCATTATCATTTCTTGGCACCTTGTTTCTGAATAATGCATTTTCCAGCCCATGGTGAAACATCCGTGCATCTGAAACTTAATGTCATTTGGAATCCGTTGATCTGTTCCCCTGATGTCCACTCAGTTGGGTCTGGATATTTGCTATTCTCACATTAACATTGGCAATGGGCTTCTCAGACCCTTGCCACGTAGCCCAGGAGTCTCTGGTGCTTGCGGAGACATAAATGCATCAGCAGAAATGAATGCAGCCTATTCCCATGGGAAGATTAAGGGTGATTTTGTTGTTGTTGTTAATATTTCCTTGCCTGCTTTTAAAGCCACACTTACCTTATTTGAGCCCCGAGATGCACTGGGCTAATTGGGTATCATGACGAGGATAAGGCTACAATACATGAATTTATAAGCTTCCATCACAGTGGAGCAGAATCCAAACAGACTTTAGTTCCTGGATCTTAGAACTTTAGATTTCTCTATTCCTTAGGGGGTGGATTGGGGAGTGATTTTATAGCTACAAGAAAATTAGAATTTAAAATTGTCAGGGATGGTCCCTTCTCTTCCCATGACCTGGCCTTTTCTGTTCTCACAGCCTCACGGCCACCCTGGCGAGTGTCGGTGCGGCCAGCATCCCCAGCGCTGGGCTGGTCACCATGCTCCTCATTCTCACGGCCGTGGGCCTGCCAACGGAGGACATCAGCCTGCTGGTGGCTGTGGACTGGCTGCTGTAAGTGCCCATGGATGGGGTTCTGCTGGGGATGGTGAGTGCTGCCTCCCAGGGGCGGACAATTGGCAAGGTTGCAGCCAAGATCTTAGCCAGTCCCCATGACGACTCCCTCACATCCCCTCTTCTTCCCTCCCTCTCATCCCCTCTTCTTCCCTCCCTCTCATCCCCTCTTCTTCCCTCCCTCTCACATGTATGAGTGTCTACTTGGGAACCAAAGAAGAAGATGGAATTTTTGAGGACCTCACAGTCTAGTGCAGGAATCAGATAGATTATAACACAAAGTTAAAAGTATAGTCATAAGGAACCAACTATTGATGCACACAAGGACTCTCAAAACATTTGTGAACATTGAGTGAACAAAGGCAGACACAAAAGAATATGTATTGTATGGTTCCATTTATGTGAAGCTCTAGGGAAAGACAATAGAATGTAGAACAATAGAAAGAGATCAGTGGTTGCCTGGAGCCAGGGTTGGAGGCGTGGGGACTAACTGGGAAGGGACACAAGGAAACCTTTAGGAATGATAGAAGTGTGCTGCATCCACAGGTATGCACAAGTAGCTAAGACTCATCATACCATGCACTTAAAATGGGTACATTTTATTGTATATAAATCACACTTCACTAGAATAGATTAAAAAATAGTGCACACATAAAAGCATAGTGGTAGAGTGAGGCTCCCTTCAGACTAGGCTGGAAGGACAAAATGGGGAATCTCAGGAAACAATGGAAATGGTAACCTGGTACTCACGAAGTGCCAGCTACTACACTGAGCACACACATCTTCCTCTTATAACAATCCTCCAAGTCTAGCGTTACTACTCCCACTTTGTATTAATAGATGAGAAAACTGTGGTTTCAAGAGGTAAATTGACATGGGAATGAACAGAGAGTCAACCCTAGATCTGCGTGGTTTTGGAGCTCTCCATGTTCTCGTTCATGGTCATATTCAAGCTTCTAAAGGCAGGATAGCAGAGCTGAATCACCACCGATAGATGGAAGTTACCTGGGTATACGCAGGTGGAAGAGGAAATGGGCCATGCCATCCAAGGCCAGCCTGCACGAAGGCTACAGTGTAGGACCTGTGAGTGGTCTAGTATTGCTGGAGGCAAGGAGGGGTGAAGGGTGGGGCAAGGTGGACAGCCTCAAAAGCCATGCAGAGATGCCTAAACTTGACCATGCATGTATAGCCCAGCTCCCTTTCCCAGGGAAGGACATTATCCTCATGTCAACGACTCACTGCTCGTCCACAAAGGTGGTCTAGCCAGATGGTCTTCAATGAGAAGGTTGGAAAGGCTGCTTTCTCCCCACGTGGGCTCTGATGTTCTGTGGGATGTATGGCGATGCCTCCTGTCTGGTCTTGGAGTTAAATGACAGGGCCTTGGGTGATGCCAGGGGCGTCAACACCAGAGTGACAAGTGCTGGCACAGAGGGCCACGGCCCAAGTGCTGCCCACACTTATACTTTTCAACCTGCCTCACATGCCAGTGGCAAGTTTTCTGAAATTTATTGGCAGAGATTTTAAGAGCCAGAGGCCACATTTTATGGACTTGAGTTTGTTCTTTCTCCCTACCCCCAGCCTTCTAAAGAGAGAAAAATGTGAGTGGCTGGAGGGAAGGACATCTGGGAAGGCTAGAAGGAAGCCTGGTCTCTCCCTGAGATGGGCTTGCTGTTGGTGCAGCCAGCGGGGCTTAGGCTAGAGATAAGAAGTGGCTCCCTGAGCGTGATCTGTTCAGCTCGGGAGGGCTGCGAGGAAGGTCCTGGGCCTTCCTGACTGGCTCTTTCATCATCAGAAAAATGCTCTGGAAATGCCTTTAGCGGGAAGGAGAAGAGCGAACTAAGTAACCTCAACGTCTGTCCATGACAGTGTCTCAGTGGCAAAAGTGAGGTGCTGGGGCCCTTCTCTGCTAGCTTGCTTGTCTCTGCGCCCCATGTTGGCCCCAGGGGAAGCCTTTCCCATGACATGTGGTCAGAAAGGCAGCTGGGACTGGATGGTGGGGTGTGGGCAGGAAGGTTTGGGAGAGGATGACGGGATGATGGAGACGAAGGGCATGTGGTAGCATTTGGACAGGGAGGGGGATGTAGGGGAGATGAAGACATTGGCAGTGGTCTGAGGATGAAGCTCACCTGAACAGCATAGTTGCCAGCTGATAATCAGGGCCTCTCCGCACAAGAAGAAAGACACAGGAAGTGATCCCAATCCCACCTGCTCCCCTGAGACCTGCTGCTTATTCATACCATATCTCCCCCCTCGCCTCTTTGTCCCCTGAGCCTCTTCAACTCATGTTGTCATTAGGGTCCCCTGCCTGCTGTGACTACATCACCTTGGCTCTTGCGTTTATTTCTGAGGCCCGAAACCACCTTTAGAGATTTGTAAAAAGTATTATTCCAAAGCCTTCCCCCTGTTATAATACAAATGCCTACGAGTGGAAAAAAGTGCACTGATATGATCGGGAATGAGGAACAGGAGCCGACATTTGGTGAGCCCCACAACGTTCTTTATATCGGTTTCCATTTAATCCTTAGCGAGCCCGGCAGCATATGTCACAGGTAAGGACACTGGCGATGAGGAGGGCCCAGGCTCCTGCCTGGCATGAGGCAGAGCTTGTGTGGCCAGGCCAGGGCCCTTCACCCCACTCCATGTGGCCCCCTAATTTGTACCAAGTGGTTCTAACTGTGGGGAGGATGAACAGAGAGGTCCAGAGTCAGAAAGACTGGGAAAAATTTATTAGGGTCACCCCTGGGCTTGCTTGGAACGTTTGACCCCTCTGAAACTCAGGTTGAAGTTTAATTGCCATTGTAACAATATTAATAGGTGGAACCTTTAAAAGGTGATTAGGCCACGAGGGCTGCACCCTCCTGGGTGAGTGCGATTGGTATCATTATAAAAGGGCGAGTTCGGCCCCTTCTTGCTCTCTCTTTGCCCTTCTGCTTTCCATCATGTGATGATGCAGCAAGAAGGCCCTCACCAGATGCCAGCACCTTGATCTTGGACTTCCCAACCTCCAGAACTGTGAAGAAATACATTTCTGTTCTTTATAAATTCCCCAGTCTCAGGTATTTTGTTATAGCAGCACAAATGGACTAAGATACCCCTGGTTCTACATACTAACTAGAGAATTTTTTGTTTGACCTGTTTTCTTCCTCCCCTCCCAAGATTAAAACAAAACAAACAGCCTAAATGAGGACAGATGGGGCACAATCAAGGTCTCGGCCAGTCTTAGAATTGAAGTCCTCCGGCCCCGGTAGTTCTGCCATTGTGGTCACTGGTCGTCTTGGCAGTCGTGTGCTTTCAAGCCTGTTGGGTGAGAGTCACTTTGTGAAACATTCAAAACCCTGCCTACCGCCGACCTAGATGTTAGCAAATGGAATATGAGGGCCAGGTCCTCCCAGATCACCCCATGCAGGTGCTCACATGCTTGCACTTGCACAGGAAAACAGGCCATCCTAACTCCAGGGCTGAAACATGTCAGCAGGCGGGAGTTGGCTGAATAATAAAAAAAAGTGATGATACTTTTGGATTAACTACATTGATGAAATCATGTAAGAGAAAACTTTATCCTGGGCCGGAGCTGGAAAGAAAGGAGCAAATGAAGAGCTCTTCTCTAGTTCTGGGGCTCTGGTCCCAGATGGAGGGAGGTGTGTGCTCAAGAGAGAGAAAGGCCAAGAGGCAGGAGCCCTAGGTCTGAGGTCTGCACATACTAACTGTAGAACTCTGGGCAAGTTACTCTGCTACATCGTATGTACAATGGGAACAATAACTTCCCAGCTTGAAAGCCAGAGTCCAGGCCCAATGCCTTTGAGTGTCCTTCTAGTTTTAAGACCTAGAGTGGGATTCTGCTGGTGATGGATGTTTGTATACAAATAAGTGTGAACATTCTTCTTAAGAAGAAAAAAAAAGGAAAGGTAGAGGATCCTGGGAAAATGGAGTGTGGATGTCTGTAGCTAGGTCAGATCTGCTTTGAATTAGTAATGGTGCCACATTCTTTCTCACCAGCAACAAGAGTTTTGGAAACCAGCTCTTGGTCATGAGCTCTGTGGCTGTCTGGTGCTCGTTAGTATGAAAGCTGGGCAGGGGGTGGGTGGTCTGAGTTGAGATGGGAGTGCACGGGAGATTGGCCATTCCCTAGAAAAGTAGTCTGTGGAGGACAAGCAAAGAAAAAGAAATGAGGGGATTTTTTTCCCTCTCTAGGCAAGGTTTGTAAGCTTTCATAACTCTAGCAATTTTTCAATTTAAAACCAAACAAAGCCTGCAGTGACATTTAACATGTCATGGTGTTTGCCAACTGCTGAAGACCAGCCAGCCTCATTACTGCCTGCTAAGCCCTGGATGCTTTTCAATGGGCAGGCTTAGCCGTCGTATAAATGTCATGGTGAAGACCAAGATTCTGGAGCCCTGAAAAGTGCCCGAACCCTAGAACACTGGATGGGCAGGATTGATCAACAAAAGCACCTTCTCCCAGGTCCAAGAAGCCCTTTGTGTCAGGAACCTTTGGTAGATATTTATGAGACCTTGCTGACACCCCACCCTCTCTGAAGGTGACCGGATAGAGTGAAAATTGAGAGCCAGTACCAGGAAGAGGAAATAAATAACTAGGTCTGGCTATGGGTGGGAAAAGGAAAGCCAAAATAAAGTGAAACCTAAGTGTACCTATGGCCCATTTGTCACACAAGACTCTGCTGGTGAGAGATGTTTTCTGGGCTCACATGTGCTAATTGAGGGATATAGTTGAGATGGCACTTATAAGGAAGACCTTAAAGAGACTCTGCCCTGCAGGAGGGCTCTGTAGCTCCCCTGCTGACATCCTTCTCTGGAGGGAATAGAGCATTAGTTCTCAAACCTGAGCATGCACCAAAATCTGTTGGAGATTTAGGAGGTCTGGGGTGGGGCTGAAGAGTTGGCATTTCTAACAAGTCCCTGGGTGACGCTGATGGAGCAGTCTCCAGGGCCTCCACTGCCAGAAGCAGTGGACTAGCAATAGGGAAGGAGAGAGCAGGATT